ATCATAGTATAAATGTTGAGAACATGTACCAGTGAATAGCCACAAAGAAAACTTCTTTCTTAATTTTGGTCAATTGATGGGCCATCAAATTATTATAGCCTATCCAGTTGCCTCAATTGGATATGACTGAAATGTTTGGTAAATATGTTTATAAATTGGTTATTAAATATGTAAATGATTTTTCTGAAAGCACAGTATAATATTGTTCGCATACACATTTAATTTTGTAAATTGGCCAGTGATTGAAGAAAACCTACAAACTGTGAGGGTTTTCTGGGGTAAATATTTCATTAATTTCCCTCACCTTTTATTAAAATCCAAAGATTATGTTTTCATTGACTATAGAAACCAATTTGTTAATTTCCATTACTCACGAGTCTTTGAATCATTGGCCAACTTATTGCCATGCATCCATTAATATACTGTGACTGGTAAAGTTGTTTTCAACCATCATTTCAAATTTTTAAACTATTCATAAATATTTTACATAAATTTTTTTGAATATTGAAAATATTTCTGCACTATTTAGCTGAGAAATCAAAGTGCTCTAAAATATATATATATATATATATATATATATATATATATATATATATATATATATATGTCCAGACAACAACTTCACCCAAAACCTAGAGTAAAAAAAATAGATTTTCCCCACCATACAACCAAAATTACCAAAGTTGCCAAACTAGTTGCACTAATTTTTTTTTTTTGTTGTTGTTGACACGATAGACAATATTGTTACCGTACACTGTAAGACGCCAAAGTAAACAATTACTAATATCGGTGGTTCCCTAGTTTTTATAATTTTACGTAAAATAAAACGGTATCCAGGAAAAACAGAGATTTATTAAAAAAAATACATTGACGTTTTTTAACAGTGCTGGGTCAATAGAATCAAGAAATTCATCAATTACTTGAAGATTCTGCTGAGTGCCTATTATTTTACAACCCGTGTTATAAAATCGACAATGTGAAATTGGCGGCAATGGTTTCATAGTGATTTTTTATAGGGGTGTAATCACATTTGTTTGGTGTGTATTAATATCCTTTTTCAGAAGTGAAATTCAACAAGGTCAAACTATTCGTGAGTGTTCTTCCACATACATTACTGGTATATTCTATCAAATGCCACCCAGAATAAACTTAGATGGTATATAACATTCCTGTACTATCTTGTTCACTGGAACACGTTCGCCACACCGCATTAATACTTCCAGGCAAGATGGAACGATCTCAAAAAGGGCACAACAGAAGGCATGGATCAGGAAATCTTTTTATCCGGTGGTGGTGTACGACGCACGCTTATGGATAGTTTTACAGACAAAAATTATCTGAGAGTTTAGTGTACTACATTCATGTTTAGATTTGTGTAAGAAATCTATAACCACATAAAACATTTTGTCTTGTCACCTACAAGAAAATCCTTGGAAATAATAAATTTCATTTATTACTTAATTTAGGCTTAATTACAGCCGCAACGGTAACTATTAGAGAATATACCAGGATCCAAAAGGAACACACTAGAGTAACATTCTCTAAGAAAAAGGCCCCGCCTAAGGAGTCACCCCCAGGGTGATCAGGTGGTCGAGGCCATCCCGTCTCAATTCTCTTTTGTTTCCAGCCCAGTTCACAGGGATATTTTTTCACTGGGTGTCTTGCATAACAAAAGAGGCAGATTACAAAACACGTTCGACAATAGCAGTTTCTACATCACGGTAAGGGCTTTTCATTATGGGCCCCAGACTCCCCTGTTTTTGTTGAATCTCTGGATCGCGCCTCAAGCAACACACACCTACTTTGCGTAGGACAGTTTCTGACACCTGGACGCTCACAGTAGTGACTCGGGGGGGGGGGGGTTATCAGATTCCTCGCCGGTCTCCTCCTACTGACTCTTCATCCTCCCTTTGATCTTCTACCGAGGGACGAGGTCAAGGTCAAGACGATCCGGTAGGAAGTAGCCAGCCTTCTGAAGAAAAGGCGGTATGCCTAGTGGAGAACCCTGATTTAGACTCAGGGTTCTATTCCCATATCTTCCTCGTCCCCAAGAGTTCGAAAGATGCGTCCTGTCTTAGACCTCAGTCAGCCAAATGGGTTTGTGGAGGGTACCGGCTACGGTGCTTCTGTCAGTGCACTCGAGCGATTGACTGGCGTTACTGGATTTGAGCGACGCATATTTCCACATTCCCATTCACCACTCTTGCAGCCTGTTTGTGCATGGCGCTGTACGTCTTCACCAGGGTGTTAAAACAGGTGACTTAGGTGCTCCAACGGTCGTCAGTTTATCTGAACTCATACAACAGGGAGGTAAACATGCGATTAATGCAAATGCTCCTCCATGAGTTGAGCTTTTTAATAAATATTCGCAAGTTCATCCTCATAATGCCTCGTAACCTACTGTACTTCCCCGAGTATAAGCCCAGGGGCCTGAACATGTAAAATCGGGAAAATTAGGGGGTGGGCTTATACTCGAGGACCACCTCAGAAATGAAAATTTTTTGGGGGGTTAAAATTGTAACCATCTTCCCAACCACGAAAAATTATCCAAATTACATTTTTTGTTCACAGCGCCGGTCTCGGAGAAATATTACGTCTTTTTGATTTCCACAACACTTTTACAATGAAGAAACAAACATGTTCATAAAAATACACACATTTTATTACAATATGGTTTACATACCGTCTGAATTTACGATACAAAAATGCATAGGGTCTGTGGGAAAACATTCAAAAGCAAGATCTTTATCATTCTCTTCGTTGTGGAATGCAAATTCTCGATACAAAGCCGCCATGGTGTTTTTCATCTTGATTTGACCTGAACAACTTCTTTTAACCTAACGGGTCACGTCTTTCGTTAACCAATCAAAATGCTGTGTCGTACAGACGAAGTTTTCCGATTATTGACATCATTTTTTCAACGCAATGCAGAAGTGAATTACCGCGATGTTAAAA